AGACAATGGGACAACGGGTGAATAGCAATGAACAAACTACAGTCAGAGTCCTAAAAATGCTAAACAGATAAAGTAGGAAGGAGGAGAGGATAGTGCTCAAGTTACCATACTTCTCCAGCAGGGGGCTCCCTATGCAGCTTGACTAACACTCTGAGGAGTTTAACCTTCTCCGAGTCTTACCTTCCTAGCCATATGCTAAACTAAAGAGGACTGTTTTAAACCTAGCCTTGAATAAAGAATAACATACAGCATAATATATAACATAATATACAACATAACACAATACATTATTGAATAATATATAACATAATATATAACATAATACAGCATATATATATAATATATACACTACATATTATATATTACCTAATTATATGCTAAATTAAAGTAAAGTGCTTTAAGCCTGGCCTTGAATGTGGAGACCGTATCTGCTTCCTTAACATAAATGGGAAGCTGATTCCACAGTAAAGGAGCTTGGAGCTAAATGCTCTGCCACCAACAGTGACCTTTGAGACCTTAGGGACCACCAGACGTCTGGCGTTTTGTGAGCGCAACGCTCGACTTGGTTGATACGACACTAACGTGTCTTGGAGATGAAGGAGCCAAGCCATTTATGGCTTTATATGTTAAGAGTAGGATTTTAAACTTTATTCTGTACTCCACAGGGAGCCAGTGGAGTGATTTTAACACCGGAGTTATGTGCTCCCTCCTTTTGGTACCTGTTAAGATCCTAGCTGCTGTATTCTGAACGAGCTGGAAGCTCTTCAAAGAGGCTTTAGGGCACGCTGCCAGTAAAGCGTTACAGTAGTCGAGCCTTGAGGTGACAAACGCGTGAATGAGTTTTTCCGCGTCACTTTTAGGAAGGAAATTCCTAATTTTAGCGATGTTCCGTAAGTGGAAGTACGCCGTTTTTTAGTTGCTTGGCTTATATAAGCCTTGAAGGAGAGTTCTTGGTCAAAAATGACTCCAAGATTCCTCACAGTGTTACTGGGTATTATACTGACATTATCGAGAGTAACCATCTGGTTAGTGAGGGAGTCACGCAGGCGCTTCGGACCGAGTAGGATCACTTCTGTCTTCTCCGGGTTGAGAAGTAGGAAGTTAAGAGTCATCCACATTTTAAGGTCCTTTATGCAGGCACTGAGCTTTTCTAGCTGATCTGTCTGATTAGGCTTCATCGACAGATAAAGCTGTGTGTCATCTGCATAGCAGTGGAAATTAATTCCATGCTTTTTAATAATGTTTCCCAGTGGCAGCATGTAGAGAGTAAAAAGAATCGGTCCGAGTACCGAACCCTGCGGCACACCGAATTCCACTCCAGAATAAGGCGACGAGTCCTGATTCACATTGACGAAGTGATATCGATCTGATAAATAGGATTTAAACCAGCCAAGGGCTGTTCCTCTAAGACCTATATCACATTCTAGCCTCTGCAGTAGAATGCTGTGGTCTATTGTGTCAAATGCAGCACTAAGGTCCAGTAGGACCAGCACTGACACTTGTCCATTATCGGCAGCTAGTAGTAAGTCATTTGTGACTTTGACTAGTGCCGTTTCAGTGCTATGATGAGCTCTGAATCCTGATTGAAAGACTTCAAACATATCATTTTCCTGCAGGTGGCAGCGGAGCTGCTCAGCTATAAGTTTTTCCAGGATTTTAGATATAAAAGTGAGGTTCGAGATCGGTCTGTAGTTTGTAAGTATTTCGGGTCCAGGTTTGTTTTCTTCAGAAGGGGTTTGATTACCGCGGTTTTAAAAGCTTGTGGGACATAGCCACATTGTATGGATGCGTTTATTATATTTACGATAGGCTCAATTATCAAAGGAAGTATGTCTTTGAAGAGCCATGTCGGGACTGAGTCTAACATGCAAGTTGAGGCTTTTGAGGATGTGACCACAGAGATCACCTCTGCTTGGCTCACAGCCATGAATTTATTAAGGCCCACTGAAGAGTCTAAGTGGGAAGTCACGTATGCCGCTTCAACCTGTCCACCACTAACAGCAGGAGCAACCTCCTCCAGCTTGTCACGGATGGATGTAATTTTATTATTAAAGAAGTGGAGAAAGTCGACACTGCTCAGTGAGCTTGGAATTTTAGGCTCGATTGCGCTATGGCAGTTTGTGAGTTTAGCGACGGTACCAAACAAAAATCTACTGTTGTTTTTATTCGCTTCTATTAAAGTTGAATAGTATTGAGTTCGAGCCCCGCGAAGGGCCTTCTTGTAGTTTCGGAGACCTGCTTTCCACTCCCTGTGGACAGGCTCCGAGTGGGAGTGGCGATATAGCCTCTCCAATTTTCTGACGTCCTGTTTTAAAGTGTGGAGTTGAACACTGTACCAGGGCGACGATGATCTAATCCTAATGGTTTTCTGTTTTAAAGGAGCTGCTGCATTTAATGCAGATTTTAAAGACTCCATAGTGTTGCCCACCGTTTGGTCGATGACTGAGGGACTGCAGCTGCTGTGAACAGGTTCACCTGCAGCAGTATTCAACATAGGCTGTATTAGTTCTTTGAACCTTGTGATAGATTTATCATTTAAGGTTCTTTTCATTATGGTTTTATCTTGCGGGACAGGAAAGTCCTCCAAAGCGAGATCAAACGTGATCAAGAAATGGTCAGACAGCAACGAGCTTTGACGCTGGATGTCAACATTGGAGACATCACAGCCGTAGGTCAGGACAAGGTCCAAGGTGTGGTTATGAATGTGAGTAGGTCCCTCGACATTCTGAGTAAAACCAACACCATCTAGTACGGCGCTGAAAGCTTTGTTTAAGCTGTCAGTGCTGTCGTCCACATGTATATTGAAGTCTCCAGCTATAACTATGTTTTCCCATTCCAAAACTAGGTTTGAAATGAAGTCAGAGAATTCTGTTAGGAACTCGCTGTAAGGACCAGGAGGTCGGTATAAAACTATAAATAGTACTGCTTTTTGTTTTCTCCACCCAGGACAGGTGATTGAAAGTGTTAAGTTTTCAAACCAGTGAAAAGCGTTGTTGGTTTTGGGACTAAGAACCAAGTTGGTGTGTGATATAATCGCAACACCACCGCCGCGACCTGTAGCTCTGGCTTTCTGGTAGTTAACATGCGTCGGAGGAGTGCACTCATTCAATCTAACGTAGTCGTCCTGTTGGAGCCAAGTCTCCGAGAGCGCTAACAGATCCAAGCCCTTGTCTATAATAAGTTCGTTTATGAGAAGCGATTTAGACGAGATTGATCTGATGTTCATTAGACCACATTTAACAACCCTACTGTTAGAACTATTTCTGTCTGTCTGAACTTTTATTAAGTTACTGTGTCTGACACCTAGGTCAGATTTCCTCGCATATAGTGCTTTAGACTTCAAGCGGGGAACACACACAGTTTCAATCTGACTAGGTTCTGAGGCTAGTAACTGAGCACACACAGGCACACACACACATGCACACACAGTTTCAATCTGACTAGCTTCTGAGGCTAGTAACTGAACAGATGGGGGCTCAGAGGTTGTGGCAGAGCAGCTCTGCACCCGGGCCTCAGTTCTGCATCGTCATTGAGCCGAGCAGAACAGTTTAGAGCCAGGGCCAAATTCTTAGCCAAAAGGGATGTACCCGCCAACGTTGGGTGGATATCATCCGAGCGGATGAGACCGGGCTTTCCCCAAAAGGCACTCCAATTGTCAACATGAACAACACCACTTCGAGGGCACCAGCCAGACAGCCAGCGGTTGAAAGCCGAGTGTCTGCTGAATGCTTCTGCACTGCTAGTGCTAGGTAGGGGCCCAGAGAAGATGACAGTGTCGGCCATTGTGCTAGCCAGCTTGCACACGGCGGCGACTTGCAGCTTCAACACCTCGGACTGTTTCCGCCGAACGTCATTACCACCCGCGTGAATAACAATTCGACGGAAACGCTGCTTGTGGGTCATCATGAGCCTCAGATTCCCTTCAATATCACCAAGCCTGGCCCCAGGGAAGCACCGAACAGTGGCTCCTGGGATCTTAACACCTCTAACAATAGAGGAGCCAATTACCAGCGCATCAGCGACTCCATCGGCTCTCTCAGCAGCTCTCTCAGCGGCTCTCTCAGTGGGGCCTTCTTCCCCGCCCGGCCGCGCGGGGGCGCAGCCGGACAGAGCGTCCCAGTGATTGTAAATGCTAACAGGAGGAGGCCCAATGGGGAAACTACCAACAACACGTGGCCCTCTCCGAACAGTCACAAAGCCATCACTATCCTGGTCTTGTCCCAGCTGCGGAGGACGGGCTGGGAGGCTAGGCTCGCTAGTTCTCCTCTGCCTTTCCCTAAAGCTGCGCTCCGCTGTCCCTGAGGATACGGCCTGGCTGTAGCTAATGCTAGCGCTAGCTCGAGACTCCAGTGCTCGGAGACGCAGCTCTAACTCACTGACCCTGGATTCCAGAGCTACGACTACACTACACTTCACACATCTATCACTACCCTCAGAGAAGGATCCAGGGTTTAGACTCGCCATATGGCAACTCGAGCAGTAAAGGATTGAGGGAGAGACAGCAGCCGCCATAGTAGCGAGTTAGCGGCTAGGCTAGGCTAAGCTAGGCTAGGCTAAGCTAGTACGGATCCGGGCCCGCACAACAGACTCCGAGACCAGACAAACAACCGCTACCTAAACCTCAGCGACAGTACAGCTGACTCGGAGTGCTTACACAGTTAGCTTGGTGTACAATACGTGGATTTGTAATGTGTTTGTGCAAACAGAGAGCAGAGTGATAGCAGTCAAGAAACACGCTCACCGGATACAGGAAGTCACGTCCAGTTTTAGAAGCTTGAATGTTGTAGTGGTAATAAATAACAGAATAGTCGTCTGGCAAGAATGGCGCTGACGGGAGAGTGTTTCTTTGCACACAGCACACACTGAGGCTTCGCAGCAGGCCGCAGAGATGATAATCAGGGCATTATGTGTAGAGCGTCTGTGCCGGGCCAAGCCTTCTGTGGACCGACGGCTTCCTCCCCCGCACTGGAGGGTCCATTGCTGGCTCTTTGGAGGAGCAGATGAGCTGCGAGGCACGAGGCCCGGACCCTCCACTGTCTCATGAAACGGTTTGAATCAAAAGCATAGAACAAAAAGCAAAAAATAACATAATTATGACAAGCTAATGTTGGGATGACAGCTGGATACCATGGCACCACCACAACACTGACTCAATGTATTTACCATTTGCAGTTTGAAATCAGTGCAAAAATACCCAGTGTGCACCAGTACAAAGATATAAAAACACACAAAGAGTAGATAAACTATTGTCACTATTAAAACACTACATGTATATACACAATACTAAGCACCAAACCTCAATCCATAGACTGTATACAGACGGGCAATGCTAACCTGCTAGCTCAATTAAGCCCAATAAGGAAGTGGTCACGGATGAAAGTTTTGCTCCAGCTCGCTCTGGCTCCTATTGACCTACAATAACATGTAAACTCCTCAAGTTCAGTGACTATTTGTGTCACACTCACTATTTTGGGCTTTAAAAAAACGGCGGTTTAGCACGCTCAATGATATTTTGATATTGTCTCCGTAAATCCAGATATGAACATATGATATGAAGATATCTCATTGAAGGCCTCTGATTGGTCAATCCTTGACTACCACGTTAAGGAGCACAGGGACTGGACTCCTGTTAGTGCCCAGAGTCAGGACTAAACATGGGGAGGCTGCTTTTTGGATTCATGCTGCTAAAATCTGGAACAGTCTTCTTGAAGATGTGAGACAGGCCTCCTCTCTGACAAAGTTTAAAACCAGATTAAAGACAGTTCTGTTTAGCTGTGCTACAACTGAGGGATTTTATATTTGTATCTTTCTTTTTAATGTTCTGTGATTATTTATGATTTTAATGCTTTCTTATTTTGTTCAGCACTTTGAGTTGCCTTTTGTATGAATTGTGCTATACAAATAAACTTGCCTTGCCTTGTCATGTGATACAGCAGACACTGAAAACCATATCCCCTGTGAGGCTTATAAATGTGTCCAATAAATAGTGAAGAACACATTTAGCTTCCAAAAAAAAAAGTGCAAAGAAACTGCCTTTTAGCTTCCAAAAAACAAGTGCAAGAAACTGCCTTTTCACACCAGCCATCCATCCATTTTCTTCCCCTTAATCCATGTCTGGGTCAGGGGGTGGCAGTCAGAGATGCCTCACTGATCCTCCTGCAGGAGCTGAGTCCACAGGAGCTGAGATCTTTTAGTGGGGGCTTCAGGTAAAGTGGGGTTAAGTGTCTTGCCCAAGGACACAACGTCAGCAGCGGGAGTCTTGAAGTAGGTCTTGTGGTAGGCTCAAACCCACAACCTTCAGGCCTAAAGACCAATGCTCTACCAACTGAGCTACTGCCGCCCCAAACCAAACCAAATCTTCTTCAAACCAGAAAGATACAAATATGGGACCATTCTGACTTAGCCAATCACGTCTTCAACCCAAAGCGCAAAAAGTTACTTCAAAAAACAAATTGGAGATGGATCAAAAACACACATCAATCATTTGTTTGGTCCCCGAGCTTTGACATTGTCTTTCTCTTGTGTGTGTGTGTGTGTGTGTGTGTGTGTGTGTGTGTGTGTGTATGTGTGTGTGTGTAGCCAACGCAGCCTCAGCCAATCCGCATCATTCCATCTCAGTCTCAGCCCAAGTCGCTGCCCAAGCCCGTGCCTTCGGTTCAGCCTCTCCGCCGGGTCTCTCTGCCGCCGCACACGCCCCACGCCTCCAGCCTGCCCACCTGCCCCAGCCGCGGAAAGATGGCCAAGTTCCTGAACCCGGAGGAGATGACGTCCCGGGATTACTACTTTGACTCGTACGCACACTTTGGCATCCATGAGGTTTGTGTAGCTATAGAAGCACATCCGTTTGGGGGTGTGGGGGGAATAACATATAGCACACATATAAACAGTGGTATTTTTCACGTTTTGAAAAGGAGGAAGGAGCCAAAATTGAAAGATTGCAAAAAATATAATAACTCAAAAAACACAACATTTAGGATACACAACTCCAAACTGAAACCATGACAAAAGCAAGGACAAAAACACAATGGACCAACAACAAGGGGAGAGTAGCACAGGGTTTAAATACACACACAAACACACACACGGATACGGATACGCAGAACCAATATATTCAAAATTAAACCCGGAAAAGTACTCAAAAAGTCCCCACGATGACAGTAAACCTGTGTGTACTATTTAAAAAATAATAATAATAATAATAATAAAATGAAATAACAGAATCATGTTTTATTTCAATTTCACTTCACTTCAAAATAAAATCTTGATGTTTATTGTTGTACACTGCAAAGAGTGATGAAAAATAAGTCAATTATTTCTCAAAATGGGTAAAATATATCTTCATTTGAGCACATTGTGACAAGAAATATCTCCCGTGGAATGGGAAAGTAAAGCCACAGTTCTTGAAATAAGACTGAATGACTTAGGAGAATGTTCCCAAATTAAGATTGAAAAAACATTAGATTTAAGCAATGTAAACAAGACAAAATGTGCAAAAGTTCAAGCTGTATTAATAAGTCTGCGAGGCGCTGTATTCCAATGTGAATGACCCACAGAAAAGACGGGGAATTGAACCAATGAGCTCTGAGCGGCAGGCTCTCAACACAAAAGTGTGTGATTTAGAACAGGTTTTAGGTCAATATTGAGATTTCAAATACTCCACTTTTGATAATGGAGAATTTGTCTGCGACCAGATAAAATATTCTGGAATGCCTCTTGGAGTGTGTTTGATGGTCCCTGACAGGTAGCTCTCCTCCCTTGTGCACTGACCCCGAAAACCTCATTCAACTCGGAGTGTTTTGACAGAAATTGTCCGGGTTTTATCTAAAGGTTAAGATCAGCCGGTCCCATTAAAGGTCAATCATTTCCGATGCCGATCAGGAGGAAGCCCCGGAGGACTCTGTGAGGCTGGGAGTAGGAGAAATATGCTACAGGACATGGATCACCGATGTCTTAAATAAGTAAGTATGTTAACATGTTTATAGTGGTGGGGGAAACCGGAGCCCCTGGAGGAAACCTAGACAGACACAGGGAGAACATGCAAACTCCACACAGAAAGCTCTGGAGGTGGAATCGAACCTAGGAGCGCTGACCACTCCTTGACAAAAACCTGAATCAAACACACTTGGAAATAGGGCTGGGCAATAAATCGAATTTAGGCAATTAATCGGCTTTTGAAAAAATCGAATTTGTGAAAAATGTGAAAATCGTGAAATCGAGTGAAGGATTTTGTGAGAGTTCCAGCAGCACATGAATTATACTTGTGAAAGGTGCTATATAAATAAAGATTACTTACTTATTTACTTAAAAAAAGTCAAAATGTGTGTTAATTTGAGCACATTTCGTCTGCTTTCTTAAAATGAGACTAAAATGTCTTTGTCCCAAACTTGTTTTGAAAGTCAGAATTTACTCAAATTAAGACAAAAACCACTCGATCAAGCATTTATTACCTCATATCTTATCATTTTTTGCAGTGTTGCTACTTACAATGCAGGTGTATAGTAGCAAAGTCGTATTTCAGCGAGTTACATGCTTCTTAATTATGAAAAATACAACATTGTTATTGATATCAGGATACTACTCATGCTGCTCTTTTATTCCTGCTGTTCTGTGACGTGCAACACTGACATTTCTCCACATGGAAGAATAAAGTGATCACATGACCAGCATCAGGTCGCTGCAGCTCTGTCAATGTGTTTGGACATTATTATGAACACATGAATGCTCTGGTATTGAGCAGAACAGACGCAGGTCATGGCCTCATTCTTCACCGTCAGGAGGTAATTAGCAGAAATGTTGGATTCCTTTTTACCATCATTAATTAGCTTACGACTAATTACATTGAAATCCCATTATTCAGTTGATTAAGTTTATAGGTCTTTCTAAAGGAGGTCTGTTTGTGTATCTCACCATGGCCTCGCCACGGTGGCTGAGTGGTTAGCACTCTCGCCTCTCAGCAAGAAGGTCCTGGGTTCGAATCCCGGCCTTTCTGAGTGGAGTTTGCATGTTCTCCCCGTGTCTGCGTAGGTTTCCTCTGGGTGCTCCGGTTTCCCCTACCACTAAAAACATGTACAATAGGTCTGTGTCTCCTGTACTGGCCCCGCTCCCATCTCTGTGTGGAGTGAGAGACAAGTGCCCAAAAAATAACAATTGTAAACTGCTTTGTGACTCTGGTCTGTGAAAGGTGGTATATAAATAAAGATTACTACTACACAGGGACTAGTCTGCTGGGACTCTGAGGAGCACAGGGACTAGTCTGCTGGGACTCTGAGGAGCACAGGGACTAGTCTGCTGGGACTCTGAGGAGCACAGGGACTAGTCTGCTGGGACTCTGAGGAGCACAGGGACTAGTCTGCTGGGACTCTGAGGAGCACAGGGACTAGTCTGCTGGGACTCTGAGGAGCACAGGGACTAGTCTGCTGGGACTCTGAGGAGCACAGGGACTAGTCTGCTGGGACTCTGAGGAGCACAGGGACTGGTGTTTCCGTGTGTTTCCTTGACCCCAGTAACACATTTGAATCCAGTTCTATTTCCGTACCGTGGACAGCTTTTGCCTTTGTCACATCCCTCTCTTCCTCTTTTCTCTTCTTTCTTTTTCTGTCCAGGAAATGCTGAAAGACGAGGTGCGGACTCTGACCTACCGCAACTCCATGTACCACAACAAGCACATCTTCAAGGACAAAATCGTGCTGGACGTCGGCAGCGGCACCGGGATCCTGTCCATGTTCGCAGCCAAAGCCGGAGCCAAGCACGTGTACGGGGTACGGACTCTCGCTTTCATCACAATGAGCCGCTGGGGCTAATCAGGGCACGTTTTGACAAGCTGCCACTTACAGATATATACAAGCGTGTCCCAGTATATGGACTTTTTTAATGTTTGTATCCGTGATGTAAGGATAGAGGGCCAGTCGGACGAGACGCAGGACATTTCAAAAGCTTTTTTCTATCGCGGTGTGGTTGTGACTGTAATTGGTCTGATGTCTGACCGTTAGCATGCAGGAAGCAGCACATGGAAGGTATTTAAGCGGCCGGGTTCCAGACGGACTGAGCGTGTTGTAGGCTGAAAGTCATTAGTCCGGATCTGCCTCTGGAGACGGGTGGACGTGATGTGTTTACGTGTGTGTGGCCCCGTGTCGGTTTGACTTCACTGTGTGTGGACTCGCTCTGGGCTGCTTTCTCTGCTCATATGTCCTCTATGTAAAGTCGCTGAAGACAAAGTGTAGCATAGATTAAATATTCAGAGTTTTTAGGCGTGGAAAGGTGACGTGGCTCCGAGAAGGAACAGTTTTTAGCTGTGAAAATATTAGTGATTAAGTAAAAATGCACTTGATCATTTTTATGTCGTATTGTGTCAGATTTAAGGCAATAGAGCGAGAATGTCTCAGTGTGGAGAAGCAGATGGTGGACCTAAGTTTACTCTGTCAGTGGTAAACGACGACATGTGTGATACTTATGGTCATTATTAAAGAGGATGTACTTATAAGAAAAGATCAAATATATATTTACGTGTGTTTAATGAAATTCTTAGTCTGCAAAAACAATTAGAATTTTCACTTCAATTTTATTTTTTATTTTTGTACTGCCCTAAAGCTTCAGTTTTTGTATAGCCCCAAACAGCCGTCATCTCTGGGGACTTCACAAAGTTGTCGATCCACCAACAACAGATCAGACAATCAAACCGTTTGAACACAGGACATGCTGTAATAACAAACCCATAAGGCATATGGACACCACTGTCCATACAAGTTAGTGAATGTCCAAATATATATAAAAAATGGCTTACTGCTAATTTACACATGCCGCGTTACAGCACGTACGCGATATACGCGCTGCAGACGCGCGTAACTTTTTTCCATGTTAACCTATGATGATATTTACACTTCTAGCGTTATACGGACGTATGACGGACGTATGACGCGAAGCTGCGCTCTAATTTAGGATGGATTTCTAATTTTGTGCGCGCACCATTGAAATCTCATGTAAAACATGATTTTTCTAGCGGTCCTTGGCTCTAGATCACATCCACACACACACACACACACACACACACATCCACACACACACACACACACACACACACACACACACACACACACACACACACAGCACTTGTGTCTAAACATCAGCAGGAGGAGCAGCAGGTTTTACAGTGATTCTGGACATTGTTTTTTTTCTTTCATAAAGTCTGGCGTCTGGTCAAACCAGCGCACAGAGACCATGAAGACAAACACATGTGGTTTGTGTTGCTCTACATCAGTCTCTGTACTGTCCTCTACACTGCTGCACAGACTACACAGGGACAGCATCAGTCTCTGGACTGTCCTCTACACTGCTCCATAGACTACACAGGGACAGCATCAGTCTCTGGACTGTCCTCTACACTGCTCCATAGACTACACAGGGACAGCATCAGTCTCTGGACTGTCCTCTACACTGCTCCACAGACTACACAGGGACAGCATCAGTCTCTGTACTGTCCTCTACACTGCTGCATAGACTACACAGGGACAGCATCAGTCTCTGTACTGTCCTCTACACTGCTGCATAGACTACACAGGGACAGCATCAGTCTCTGTACTGTCCTCTACACTGCTCCATAGACTACACAGGGACAGCATCAGTCTCTGGACTGTCCTCTACACTGCTCCACAGACTACACAGGGACAGCATCAGTCTCTGTACTGTCCTCTACACTGCTCCATAGACTACACAGGGACAGCATCAGTCTCTGTACTGTCCTCTACACTGCTCCATAGACTACACAGGGACAGCATCAGTCTCTGTACTGTCCTCTACACTGCTGCATAGACTACACAGGGACAGCATCAGTCTCTGTACTGTCCTCTACACTGCTCCATAGACTACACAGGGACAGCATCAGTCTCTGTACTGTCCTCTACACTGCTCCACAGACTACACAGGGACAGCATCAGTCTCTGTACTGTCCTCTACACTGCTCCATAGACTACACAGGGACAGCATCAGTCTCTGTACTGTCCTCTACACTGCTCCATAGACTACACAGGGACAGCATCAGTCTCTGTACTGTCCTCTACACTGCTCCATAGACTACACAGGGACAGCATCAGTCTCTGTACTGTCCTCTACACTGCTGCATAGACTACACAGGGACAGCATCAGTCTCTGTACTGTCCTCTGCACTGCTCCATAGACTACACAGGGACAGCATCAGTCTCTGTACTGTCCTCTACACTGCTCCATAGACTACACAGGGACAGCATCAGTCTCTGTACTGTCCTCTACACTGCTGCACAGACTACACAGGGACAGCATCAGTCTCTGTACTGTCCTCTACACTGCTGCACAGACTACACAGGGACAGCATCAGTCTCTGTACTGTCCTCTACACTGCTCCATAGACTACACAGGGACAGCATCAGTCTCTGTACTGTCCTCTACACTGCTCCATAGACTACACAGGGACAGCATCAGTCTCTGGACTGTCCTCTACACTGCTGCATAGACTACACAGGGACAGCATCAGTCTCTGTACTGTCCTCTACACTGCTGCACAGACTACACAGGGACAGCATCAGTCTCTGTACTGTCCTCTACACTGCTCCACAGACTACACAGGGACAGCATCAGTCTCTGTACTGTCCTCTACACTGCTCCATAGTCTACACAGGGACAGCATCAGTCTCTGTACTGTCCTCTACACTGCTCCACAGACTACACAGGGACAGCATCAGTCTCTGTACTGTCCTCTACACTGCTCCACAGACTACACAGGGACAGCATCAGTCTCTGTACTGTCCTCTACACTGCTCCACAGACTACACAGGGACAGCATCAGTCTCTGTACTGTCCTCTACACTGCTCCACAGACTACACAGGGACAGCATCAGTCTCTGTACTGTCCTCTACACTGCTCCATAGACTACACAGGTACAGCATCAGTCTCTGTACTGTCCTCTACACTGCTGCACAGACTACACAGGGACAGCATCAGTCTCTGTACTGTCCTCTACACTGCTCCATAGACTACACAGGGACAGCATCAGTCTCTGGACTGTCCTCTACACTGCTCCACAGACTACACAGGGACAGCATCAGTCTCTGTACTGTCCTCTACACTGCTGCATAGACTACACAGGGACAGCATCAGTCTCTGTACTGTCCTCTACACTGCTGCATAGACTACACAGGGACAGCATCAGTCTCTGTACTGTCCTCTACACTGCTCCACAGACTACACAGGGACAGCATCAGTCTCTGTACTGTCCTCTACACTGCTCCATAGACTACACAGGGACAGCATCAGTCTTGTGTACTGTCCTCTACACTGCTCCATAGACTACACAGGGACAGCATCAGTCTCTGTACTGTCCTCTACACTGCTCCATAGACTACACAGGGACAGCATCAGTCTCTGTACTGTCCTCTGCACTGCTCCATAGACTACACAGGGACAGCATCAGTCTCTGTACTGTCCTCTACACTGCTCCATAGACTACACAGGGACAGCATCAGTCTCTGTACTGTCCTCTACACTGCTCCAGACTACACAGGGACAGCATCAGTCTCTGTACTGTCCTCTACACTGCTCCATAGACTACACAGGGACAGCATCAGTCTCTGTACTGTCTGTCCTCACTGCTGCATAGACTACACAGGGACAGCATCAGTCTCTGTACTGTCCTCTACACTGCTGCACAGACTACACAGGGACAGCATCAGTCTCTGTACTGTCCTCTACACTGCTCCACAGACTACACAGGGACAGCATCAGTCTCTGTACTGTCCTCTACACTGCTCCATAGACTACACAGGGACAGCATCAGTCTCTGTACTGTCCTCTACACTGCTCCATAGACTACACAGGGACAGCATCAGTCTCTGTACTGTCCTCTACACTGCTCCATAGACTACACAGGGACAGCATCAGTCTCTGTACTGTCCTCTACACTGCTCCATAGCTACACAGGGACAGCATCAGTCTCTGTACTGTCCTCTACACTGCTCCACAGACTACACAGGGACAGCATCAGTCTCTGTACTGTCCTCTACACTGCTCCACAGACTACACAGGGACAGCATCAGTCTCTGTACTGTCCTCTACACTGCTCCACAGACTACACAGGGACAGCATCAGTCTCTGTACTGTCCTCTACACTGCTCCATAGTCTACACAGGGACAGCATCAGTCTCTGTACTGTCCTCTACACTGCTCCACAGACTACACAGGGACAGCATCAGTCTCTGTACTGTCCTCTACACTGCTCCACAGACTACACAGGGACAGCATCAGAAGGACCTGTGCACAAAGAGAGCGCGCAGTAAACGCGTACGCGCTGTTTACGCCTACTGTGTTAGAGTTAAATGAAAAACGTAAGTTAGAATTGTATTGTGTGTTAAATGCGTCTGTGTTTGTCTCTTTGGCAAATCTAGTTTTAAGTCCAAGAAAATGTACTAAATCCAGGACTCATTTTTGACTATTTAACTTTTTTGAAGAATCTGGTCGCGGCCATTCGATCTCAGGTTTTGTTGTTGTTGTATACATACTTTATACTTTTCATTAAAATAACATTCGAACAGATACACACATAAGACTAGACAATACAATGAACAACACACACAAAAGTGCAGTGAAGTCCGGACATTAGACTAGAACCAAAAGGTCGGACTCCGTTGAGCTCAGGTCTGTAGTTTAAAGTCAAAGTTCCGGCCATTAGCAAACACTTTGGCGAACGGGCTAATGGCTTCATACCGAGGCATTAGCTCCGGTCCAAGTATAGCATCAAAAATCACACACACACACACACACACATACACGTTTTTG